GAGGTGAACCAAGGTGCAGCGGGGATCGACTGACGGGAAGGAAAGGGAAGACGAAAGAACCTGGATGCKTTTCGYRYCAGGTGCATGCATCGTTGGAGGACGGGGATGTCGGAATAGYGTGGAGMCGGKKACGACGGGGCARYAGYGGWGAAGGACGGGCGCTAAGGCTGTGGGGCGCTGTCGGGGCGAGTGCAGTAGAAATCGAAGTGGGAGTGACAACGGGGGGGGACGGACGTGGACGCAGGGTCGGACCGGGTACATGCGCTGAGGGAAGGAACGCCGCGGTGAGGAGAGGGCTATGGCAGAAGTAGTAGGAGCACACCCCGCCCGCTCCTTGATGAAAACGGGCGGGGGAAGGTAGTAGACGGGGGTTTAGGGCCAGGGCGAACCCGATGATGAAAGCGGATCAGCGAACGGAGGAGTGTGGTGGGGGGTAGGAAGAGAAAGGGCCGCGCGGGGAGATGGCGGAAGGAGCGGGAGAAAGAAAGGGTGTGAAGGTGTGGTAACTCGGTCTATTCTTGACCAATTTTTACGAATGAAGATGATAGTTAGTAGAATTTGGAGCCGGCGAACCCGAATATGAAGTCGGGATTAACAAGGAGTTAGTAAGGAAAGAGTTAGGCAGAAAATTTCACTCGATTCTCGATGGATTCGAGTGAAAGAAGATAGTAGATTAGTGTTTTTAAGGTCGGCGAATCCAAAGATACAGTTAGATTGGGTGGGGAGTTAGTGAATCAAAAGGTAGTGAAAAAAAAAGTGTTGCGCGGAGCTGTCGGAAAGGGGATATGATAGGGGGGCGGAAATGGCATATCCCGTTCGTTCCATGACCGAGTTTTACAATCTAAGATGCTTAACGGAGGGTTTCGGGCCATTCGATTTGAGGTGTAGTTTAGTCGGCATAAGTGATACGGACTGCGCGGTTGAGGGAGATAAAAGGAAAGACTCGGATGCACCTAACCGTTATTCAGCAGAAAATTCATTTGTTTCTTAACCGGCTGCTTCTGTGGAGGGTGGGGACTTACCTGCTGGTCAGTGAGATGCTCCTCTGAATAGCGTGTGGCAGCCACTGGAGTAGGGACCTACCAGATGGACGATGCGAAGCTCATGTTGTCGGTGAGAGTGGTGTGATGCGAGTCGTGGGTGAGACAGCGTACCTCTCCACGTCCTAGCAGAAGCTTCATTCGAACTCGCTCATCAACTCGACGGAAGTGTCAAGAGGTTAGCAACAGAGTTGGATACTTACCTGTTGGTTTTGCGGTGTACAGTTGAACCTTGCCGTGATAGGGGCGAGGTACTCTCACCCTTTTAAGATAATTGTAGGTGAGAGCGGAGGACACTGAGAATTAAGCTGCTGGACCAGGTCTGATTTTGAGCTCCATATGAACGCCGACTGCGGAAACACATACCTGCATGCGGCGGTGGTCTGTGTACTCAACATCCGCCCGCACCTTGGAAGACACCCCGGGTTGCTAGATCGAGGTCGGACTGCCATGGCGGCAGGGAGGACTGCGGCCAGTTAGACCGTTATTGGTCTACTAGGCACAGTGTTGTTGTGTCCTTTGCTGAGTGCCCGGCTGGAGTTGCTACCGACTAAAGCAAACTGTTGCGGGCTGTTACTAGCTACTGCTGTTGGGGTTGACTGTGGTGGATGCCACTGCGTTTGCTGCTAGGTAGTGCTGCAGGCGAAAAAAGTAGTTGAACTACTGGGCGACCATAGTTTGTTACGGTGTCTGCTGTGGACTATAGTGTGTATCGCGGGGTACAGGCTGTTGCAGCAGTCATTACCGGTGGTTGTGCAAGTTGCAGGAAAGACCGGACAGATTACTATGCAGGCCAGTATGTCGCTGTACTCACTGCATCCCTTGCGCCTTGCTGCGTAAGGTCGTTGTGTACTTCTATATTTTTGACACGGAGCAAGCACAAAGTGCATGTTTTGAGTAAGGCTATTATGCACAGCATAGCTGCAGATGCATTAAGGAAGGCGGCGGTATAATATAAGGAGAGTTACTTCAGCAGCCGCAACTTCATTAACTGAGCTGATAACTGGTCGCCATTGCGGGACCCTCATGCGATCCAAGATTACAAGGCCCTCTCTTGTGAGACTCTCTTATGAGAGTGAGAGCACCACTCCTGGATCTGAGAGTGTAGGATCCTTCTCCTTCTGCCCTTCTTAATCTAAGTCTAGTCTACTGGCTACGAGAGGAAGGCGGTAGGCGGGATTGCAACCCGTAGGTCCGCATCAAGACTTTGTGGGAAGTCCACCCACCGACTGCTGGAGCTCTGCCGGAACCTAGACGAGGTTCTGGTAGCAGGGAACCTTCAGGTAAATCATCTTCATCCGTACAGCCTACTACTACCCATGTATGCATGCGTTTGTCCCTATGGTTTTTGCTTTCTCTTCAGGACTAATTAGACTAACTGGAAAGAACGTGTGTGAGAAAAGCCTAAGTTTCTAGTTTTGTTATGATTGAAAGCAGACTAAGGATGAATTGGGGGAAGGTGGGAGGAAGATAGTCTTGCATGCGTTTGGAAGGGTCAACCAAAGCCTGAGCATTGTTTCCATGGAGAATGGCTCAGGGCTGTGTTTTATTTGACTGTTTTCTGAAGGATCAGGCATTGTTTCCAAGGTGAATGGCCTGGTTGCTGTGTTTATTTAGTTGTTTTCTGGAGAACCAGGCATTGTTTCCATGGTGAATGGCCTGGTTGCTCTAGTTCACTCTGGGGTGCGCATGGGTGTGGGATGCGTCCTAGTCGACCAACGATGAGTTGCGCTTGGGACCTCAGCCCCCCCAAGATGTCGGTTCTCGTGCGGGTCCGATAGAGGCGTATTACCGCGCGTACCCCCTATGCTACAACGAACGAGAAACGCCCTCGGCTGGTCCACCTCTGCGATTGCAACTGATTAGCTTTCGTATTGTGGACTGGTAGCTCGGCGGGGATACGCCCACCGAAGGGAGGTGACAACTCCCGTAAGGTGTAGGTAAGTCGTGCCTCGCGTAGGCCCTATCCTGTCGTAGGGGCTCGCGAGAGGTATGGCTGGCGCACCCGGCCGGAGTGGCTTATGGAAGCTCCGTGTATATTGCGACGAAGGGTTATGAAAACCAACTCCTGCGTGACGCAGCCGGGAGGGTCCCGCGCTGCCCCTGTGCGGTGCCGGACCGATGCGCCCGACAGGTGGCGCCGTTGCCGCGGATAACAGCATGCCTACCGTTGTCCCTGGTGGAACGACATCCAGGTATGAGAAGTGAATAAGAAAAGACATAAAAGAGTGACGAGAAGGTAATGAAGGAATATATGAATGACTAAATGTAGGTGAGAAAATTTACCTACCCAAGTAGAGGAAGTATGAGGGACGATCGTGTTAACAGTGGGTAAAGTAAGTACTAAGGGTTAGGTAGGACGAATGGAATAAACCAGATAAGGTATAATGTTGAATAAGGAGATGTACTTGTTTTCTTTTGCCAGGGAACTTAAAAAGAAAAGGTTGTCAAGATGCCTGAGACTGGCGGTGCATCAGTTGTTCCCAAGAAGAGCCTGACACTCGATGACCTCATCGCGGCCATCGACCGACATGAAAGGAACCCGAGCAACATCCCAAAGGTCGATACTTTCCATTTCTGTGGAGAGAGAGTCTCAGAATGGCTAGAGCGGGTGGAACAAGCTTTGGTCGGGCGGCCGGATGTTGTAAAGTTCCAACGCATCCTTCAGTATGTCCTCCACAGCTACCATCAGGAGGTGAGGAAAGTCATAGATGCGGCTCAAGGTAGCTGGGAGAGGTTCAAGGAGGGGATGCAGAGGAAATACCGCCTGGGAGATGGGTTGTTGACTACCACGGACCTTGAGGCGATGAACAAAGAGGATTTTACGACTATAGGGGCCTTTGTTCAAGAATTTAAGAAGAGGGCGCGGAAGGTCCATGGGATTTCGGAGGAAGCACAGTGCGCCATCTTCCTTGGGCTACTCACAACATCAGAGGCTGTCGAGTTGACAAGACATGGAGGAGGTAGCACTAAGCTCACCTGAGCCACCATTGACAGAGGTGTGGAAGTTGGGTGCTTGGACCAGGTGGAACAGCGTCAGGTACGCCTGCAAAGACAGAAGAGAAAGGAAAGGGGTGCGACCGCTTCTGGGACCCCGGGAGTAACAAGGATTGTTACAGACGTATTGGCACAGCTAGGGTATGCGACAGAGCCAGTGGTGCAAAGAAGGGTGGTGACGGCTGTCAAAGTAAAAGGAAAAGAGCCAGTGATAGAGGAGGCTTACCAGGAGGAGCTCTGGAAAGAGGAAGAGCCGGTGCCGCAGCACCTGACGAAGGTTCAGCGCAAAGTGCGTAATTTGGCGCAGGGCGGACAAGGATCAGGAAAAGCGCAGGCACCTCAAACCCAGGCAGCAGCCCCTTTAAATGTGGCAGCTGCATCATCTAGTACGGGCCCCTCGCAAGGTGGGGTGCCCTTCTATGGACAGTGGCCCTGGCCAGTGATCAACGCAATTGTGTCATGGGGAAGTACGCCGCCAGTAGCCGGACCGCAAACGAGTATGCCACCACCCATCTACCCCCCGGCCCAGGCCCAACCTGTAGCCCCGCCACCGTCACCTGATCCCAGTTCACAGGGCAGTGTTGTAGGGGGTGGGAACCAGGGGCAGGGCAATCAAGGCAGCGGAGGGAGGGGTGGAGGGAAGGGGTGGGGCAGGAATGGCGGCGGAAGAGGAAGGCAATGGAATGGCCAAGGCCAGGGGTATCAAGGCCCAGGGAGCCAAGGCCAGGGGTACCAAGGCCAAGGGAGTCAAGGCCAAGGGAGTCAAGGCCAGGGGTACCAAGGCCTAGGGAGTCAAGGCTAGGGGTACCAAGGCCAAGGCTATCAAGGCAAGGGGTATCAAGGCCAGGGGGATCAGGGAAGTCAGGGGTATGGAAGACCCCGCTTTGACTGGAGGATGGTCGTCTGTCAACATTGTGACCAGCAAGGCCACACTATAAGGTTCTGTAATATAAGACGGGAAAACGAGAGAAACGGGCTGATTTCCTCTACTATGGATGGGGATATCTACGATCAATTTGGGGAGGCCATTGACAGAAGGCTTGGAGGACTGAGAGCTGAAGCCCAACGAAGAGCGGCAGCGGAACCACCGCCCCTTGCCATGTTCAGGCTATGGCAGAAAAATGAGGAACCACCGTTTGGGGTGGAAGAAGTGGGAAGTGATGAGGAAGTGACTCAAGGGCTACGAGGAGGAAGTGAGACAGAAGAGGTCATAATCATCGAGTCAGATGACGAGGAGGAGGAGGAAAGAACGGAGCCTTCGTCTGTCTTATTTGAGAAGATGAAGAACTTGCTGGATAAGATGGGGAGGTACCAACAGAAGTTGGTGGGTCTCTGTAAAGAAGTGAAAGGATGGAGGTCTAACATCCCCACAATATTCCTCTTTGACTCTAGCCCGGAGTCAGCGCCTGGGCGACCCAGAGTAAATGTGGTGGGGTCGTGCCCACAACCAGGGATAAGGGGGAGACCCTCACTCCGCAAGCCCGGCTGGCGCAGGCAGCGCGAACGAGGAATCAAGCCAAAGCCAGTACCAGCCAAGAGTCTCCGAGGGGGGACCACGAACCAGGAAGGAGGAAGGAGGCTGTGGAAGTAGAGGACGACGATGACGAAGAGGAAGAGGACGAGAGGCTGCGCAGAAAAGAGGATCAAAGAGCGGAGCAGCGGACAAGGAAAAATGGGATCAGGGGAGAGGCCGAACCGGTCATACAGGACGGACCACCAAAAAAGAAGAAATACTCGGTCCGGTTGGAAGAAGAATTTGACGTAGAGAAGGTGATTGACCGGCTGCTGGAAGGGCATAATGACCTCATGACCCTGAAGGAAATCCTAGTGTCAGCCCCGCGACTCCGTGATGAACTGAAGGGAAGGTTATCACGACGCCTGGTACCCAATGTCCACCTGGATACGATCCTGCCCAAGGAGGCAGAGTGGGCAGAGTCAGGTACGAAGATGGACAAGAAGTGCGTAGCCTGTGGTACAGTGGATTTGATGGTGAAGGGTTCCAAGTGCGCAGCAATGGTGGACACCGGGGCAGAGATGAACATTATTCGGGAGGCGGACGCGATCAGATTCGGGCTGGATATAGACCGTTCTGACTGCGGTATTCTGCATGGAGCCAGCTGTAAGGCCATGTTTTGCGGGACATCCTCGAATGTGCTCGTCGAGGTTGGAAAGGTGAAGGCTAGGGCATGCTTCTTTATAATGCCAGACATGGACCATGGAATCCTCCTGGGGAGGTCATTCCTAAGCAGGACAGAGACCGTGATGTTCAACAAACATRATGGGAYGYTGATCCTCCTCTTATGTGATCCTGCCTGCGARAATTATGAAATAATTACTTGCCGGAATACCGGGCCAAGGAGTATAAGGAACCGGCCCAATCTAGGATCATTCACAATCGAGGAGTTGGAAGGGGAGCGCAGAAGGCTCTGGGCAGAGCCCGAAGTAGGAGAGAGGGTGAAAGTTTTTTCCCTCAGCCTGTCAGATGTTGGGAAGGCCATGGACCTGGTAGCCGCGCATGAGATGGCAGATCCGGATGCCATCCAGGCCTTGAGGGAACAAGTTCTGGAATGCCCTGAGGCAGGAAGGTTGGAACTGGTATATCGGCTCCCAGGTAGTGGAGGGAACCCCGCATCAGCGTAAACACAATCTGTGAGTCGGCTTTTTTTAGGGGACGGCTCAAGCAGGGTTCCCAAAGGTGGTACAAGACGGTAAATAAGAAATGTCGCCCGGTACCCGTCCTCGTTACAGAGGACGAGGAAGCATATTACGAGAGGGAACGAGGGTTGATTCGACAAATGAGGGAAAGTGCTTTAGCATGGCCATGTCGTATCAACGAAGGGAACGAGAAAGACTTAATCATAGGGAGTCTGATTTCCTGCTGCCTCAGGAGCGAACGCTGATGGTGGAATTAATGAAGAGGAAGCATCGCGCCTACGCGTTTAGTGACGAGGAGCGTGGCAGGCTGGATGTAGATAAGATACCTATGATCCGCATCCACACCGTGCCACACGAGCCGTGAAACATGAGAGGGGCGCGGTATCCCAATCCTGACGAGGAGAGGAAGGTGGTGGATTATCTTGACGGCAAGATACGTACTCACGTCGCCGACTATTCAAGTGGACCGTATGCGTCCCCGTGGTTTTGCTTTATTAAGCCTAACGGGACGCTGCGGTGGGTGCAGGATTTGCAGAGATTGAATGCAGTGACTATGCGAGATGCTGGAGGACTGCAGAATGCAGACGCGCTGTCAGAATCCTGTGCTGGAAGGCCTATAATTTCGCTTATAGACCTTTACTCAGGATACGATCAGTTCCCACTCTACCCGTCGGATAGGCCGGTGACAGCTATGCACACACCGCGAGGATTAGTCCACATGAATGTGGCCCCGCAAGGGTGGACCAACGCAGTAGCAATGGTCCAACGAGCCATGATTCGGGCCATGCAGTCAGTCAGCCCCCATATCACACACCCATACATTGATGATTTGGCAGTGAAGGGGCCGGCGACGAAAGAGAGCGATGAAGTCTCACCAGGGGTAAGGCGCTTTGTCTGGAAGCACATTCAGGACCTCGAAAAGGTCCTGAACCTGCTCGAAGAGCATAACCTCACGGCAAGCGGGGCCAAATCCTGACACTTCATGAGGGAAGCGACTATCTTGGGGATAGTCTGCAATGAGGAGGGTCGAAGGCCGGATGTGAAGAAGACGTACAAGATTACTGAGTGGCCAGTTCTGTTCCACTCAATAACTGATGTCAGGAGCTTCCTTGGTACGTGTGGATTTTGGAGGGTCTTCGTCAAGAACTTTGCCGCTAAGACTGAACACCTGAGGAAGTTAGTCCGTCAGGATCAGGAATGGGTATTGGGTAAAGAACAAGAAGAGGTGGTAGCAAAAATGAAGGAGGAATTTCGAGAAGGAGGGTTGGTGTTAGGAGCGCCAGATTATGACGCCACAGAGATGCGACCCTTCATTGTCGAAACGGATGCGGGACCGACTGCCTTAGGGGGAGTTCTAATTCAGGCAGACATGGAAGGGAAGGAAAGACCCTTGCGTTTTGAGAGCCGGACTCTCTGTACGACGGAGAGGAACTACTCTCAGTTCAAGAGGGAGACCCTTGCTGTCCTCCATTGTCTGCGAATCTTCTGGAATTATATATTTGGCAGGAGGTTTATTTTGAGAGTGGATCCGACCGCCCTGGCCTACTCTCTAAGGAATTACGTTCCATCGGATCCGACAATTGTCAGATGGCTGACGTACATCTGGATGTTCAATTTCGAATTGGAACGGATTCCTGGTAGTAAGAACCGGGCGGACGGGCTGAGTCGGATCAACTGGGATAAGCAGGAAGGGGAGGCGGTGGAGAATACGCCCCCAGTTGATGGATTTCAGGATCAGGAAGAAGATGTTCGTCTTCATATCAACAAATGGTCGCCGCGAGTGCCTAGCTGTGTAGGCTATCCTACCTGGCAAGCGCCGAAGGGGTATGAAAGGAGGAATGAGTTAGTCCTTAAGCCCTTTAAAGAAGAGGATCCCTGGGGCGGTAAGGATGTTCAGTGGATGATGGAATTAGCGTTGGCCAACTCGCATAGCCTAGTGGAGGATATGAGGACGATTGAGGAAGGACCTGGCCAGGTAAAACGGCATGAGGACTTGATGGGAGGAATATATCTCCTCGTCAATACGTTATTGCAGGAAAGCCTAGACCAGTCAGGCTCGTTAAGCCCGGCAGGGAATGTGAACGAAATACCCGGGAGCCAGGACGACGAGTTCGAAGAAGGGGAAATTAAGGAGGCTTTTCGTGCAGAGGAGTACGACGGGATCTACCTAGAGCTGGGGCTTCTTCTGTCATGTGAAATGCGGCTAAGAGATGCGAGCGATAGGGCTCAAATGATGCTGCAACGCTACTTAGTGCGAGACGGTCACCTTTTCGTGAGAAGGGAAGTGGGGAATCCCAGGAGGGTCGTCTGCGGTAGGAATCGTCAGATCGACGTCATAGCAGCACTACACGATGGCGTTGCAGGAGGGCATCGAGGGGTACAAGCCACGTATGCCAAGATAAGTGAGTTGTACTACTGGGATGGAATGATGGACATGGTCGGAAAATTCTGTCGATCTTGCGTACCCTGCCAGGAGAGATCCCGTTTTAGGCAGGGAGAGCCGCTGCATCCAAGGTTAGAACGAGAGGTAGGGGCCGTAGTGCATTTCGATCTGCTTTTTATGCCACTTGGGGATCAGGGCTATAACTATATCTTTGATGCGCGCGATAACCTGTCAGGGTTCGTAGACGGGCGTGCTATTCGCACAAAGACCTGGTCAGTCCTGGTGAGCTGTATCGAGGAGTACTACCTGCGTTATCCTTTTGTCAGGGAATTCGTAATGGACAGGGGATCAGAGTTTACCTGCCAGGAGGTGCAAGAACTGTTAGCAAGATATGGTGTGGCAGCCAGCTATACCACGGCCGCGCACCCCCAGGCAAATGCTCCCGTAGAGAAAGGACACAGTACCATTACGAACCTCCTGGCCAAATTGACCGAAGGTAAGCCTAATCAATGGCCAAGATACCTAAGGGCGGCTTTCTTTGTCGAGAACATTACATTAAAGAGATCCACCAAGTACGCACCTGCGACGCTGTGGTACGGAAGGCATGCCACCTTCCCTATTGAAAGTTTTCTTAAGACGTGGAGGCGCCGAGATCTGGAAGTCAACTTGTCATTTGAAGAGTTGCTCGATATTCGGGCGCGGCAGGTCGGGGCGATAGAAGAAAGGATCCAGGAGGCATCTGACCAGGTGGCGAGAAGCCGTATGCATGATAAGGCCCGATGGGATCAGTCTGCGCGAGTGAGGAAAGTACCCTTGACAGTCGGGGATGTCGTGCTTCTCTACGATACGTCGCTGGAGAAGCAGTGGTCCAGGAAGCTCGATAAGAGATGGTTAGGTCCCTACCGAATTGCACGGGTCGGAGACTTCGGAGCGTACCAGATCGAGGAATTAAATGGGACTGAGTGGAAGGATTGGGTATCTGGAACGCGACTGAAGAAATTCGTGGCGAGGGAAGAGGTAAGAGAGATGACCTGACCGCCCCTACAATAGAAGTAACAGGGTGTGTAGGTTAGGATGGATGCATGCTGCATAAGTGTGGTCTGGTCTGAGCTTGCTCTAATTATCACCTGCTTGCTTACCCCAAGGTGTGCTTGTTGTCTCCTTCGCCTGTTGTGCAGGTCTGACTTTACGAAGACAGCCATGCCAAGAGGAGGGAAGGGGACGCGGCCGCCTCAGAGGCCGTTGGGCGCATCAGGAGGATATGAGCGACATGGGTCTCGCCAACGAGAGAGTACTCCAGTCTACAATGATGGGGACATCGAGTTATTCCTGGACAGTTTCTGGGAGCATGCGAGGCGTATGGGCTGGACAGTCACTCAGGCAATTGAGAGATTGAGGGGAGCAGGTAGGTTCGAAGAGCCCATTGCCAGGATTCGTAGGGAGGGGACGACGAGGCAGGAGGTGGAGATAAGGGTGGAGGAGTTGCGACCCTCGCCTGTGGGACCTGATGGCAGACCGATCTGCTTGGAGATTGGAAATGCGTCGGACTTCATCCCCGCGTTTGAGTGGTTCATGCAAGAGCAAGGCATACAGAGAGATGATTGGATGCAGACACTACCACTCTGGACCAGGAAGGCGGAAAGGCCACTGGCTATGCAGATCAGGGACATAGCACGAGATTCGGAAAGCTGCAGGGCACATTTGAGAGAGGCCTTTCGACGGCCAGAGCTCCCTCAGCCCAGAATCGAGAGGCGGCAGAGGAGTCAGAGGCCGAGGGACCCTGAGCCCAGGGAGGCGAGACCATCTCGAGGAGGACGGAAGGCCCTAGCCAGGAGAGAGCAGGAGCCAAAGGATGAGGAGCGAGGGGCATACCCTGAGTGTGGGTTGGGGCCAGTGGAGTTCCGTCGTTTTACTGAGGGTGGATTAAGGAGGTCGCCAGCACACACACTGGGGGAGTCACCAGCGTCAGAGGGGCCCTTGAGGGAATTGGAGATGCATTTAGATATTTCTCGGTGGAGGGCGTCGCTTCAGGGTGAGAGGCATGGAGAGCAGGCAAAGGAGGTGCCACGAGAGGAGGTACCACAGGAAGAGGTCCGGGGTACTCAGCGAGAGAGAGGGCTGGGCGATGAGGGGAGACGTGCAGGGAAAGAAGTGATAGAGGTTGAAGAGGACACGCCCCCACAGACTCCAGCAGTGGGTTTGAGACTCGGGGATGCACTAGGGAGCACCCGACCGGCAAATGAGGGGTTGCAGAGAAAGGAGACCCCTTTACCTTCGTCAGAAAAGACTCCTTCGCCAGAAGAGAGGGCAGCTGTAAGGAGAGAAGCTTTGATTCTGATTGATAGGCAGCTAGCAGCTCATGCCCTAGAGCACCCAGACCTGGAGGAGCCAGCACCTGCAGAGCCACGCCAGAGTCATATCAGCCCGAGAAGAAAATGGAAGCAGAAATCCCAAAGAGAGTCGACCTCCGCACGAGGGAAAGGGTGCCAGCTGGAGAGACGGCTGAAGAAAAGAGGGCAAGACGAACCAGGCGGATAGATGAGATATGGCAGGAGAGGCAGAGGTTGGAGGCAGCAGGGGAGCTCCCGGAGCAGCAGCAAGAGAGGCAGAGATCGGAGGCAGCAGGAGCACTCCCGGGTCAGCCGCCCAGCGCACCAGCTAGGGCCCCAGAGATTCCTGAGATATGGAGGGACTTCTGGGAGCAGAGAGGAGAGGAGCTTCCATCGCCAGTCAGAGCCAGGTTTGGGGTGGCCAGGAAGGCGGAAGAAAGGTTAGATCGTAAAATCAAGTTCCTGACCAATACCACTTTTGACCGGCACTTGTTATTGGAGGGCGATCTGGTGGGGAAAAAAATGAAGGAAGCCAGCTATGAAGTACGTCTGGAGGCTATGGAGATGGAAATTCAGGAACTTAGGGTTTTGGTGGTCAGCCAGGCAGCTATTATTGAGAGCCTGAGGCAGCAAACCCAGGGAAAGGCGGACAGACCAGAGAGCAGCCGGCAGGGAGAGCAGAGGCAGCCAGGACAGGGATTGCCAGGACAGCCATCTGCGTCAGAGCCTCGCCAGGAGCCGCCTATGGGGAGAGTTATCCTGGAGCCAGAGGAGGCAATTGCCCAGAGACAGGCAGAGAGAAAGGCGTTCGAGTTTAGAGCCCCTACTGAGCTCGTGACGCTGCCGGTGGCGGCGGCAGGCCCGATCGTACCTTTGACAGTAGAGGAGGGACTGCCACCATCTAGCAGTGAGCCGGCTCAGGGCTCGGCAGAGGGATCCATGGGCGTGCTCCTTGAGACGGTGCATACTATGCGGGAGGAGGTGAGTTTGTTTTCACCTGAGCAGAGGATAGAGGAGCCTCTTGAGAGAGAGATGGGGATTGAGGAGGAGGGTGCCATCGAGGGCAGACTCCAGAGGATAGGCACACCTGAGTATGGACCAGAGGAGATTGAGGAGCAGCCCACGGAAGTGCCAGAGGCGACACTCGAGAGGAGGCCTCAGAGGTTGGACACGCCCAAGTACATCCCAGCGACAGAGGATTTGAGAGGCAGGCTAGGATCTTGGGCTGCTGGATCTGAGTCTGGTGGACCGGTTCCTGGGATAGAGCAGCAGGAGGTCGCTAGTACCGCAGCTCCTCAAGCAGAGCAGCAGGGGGTTGTTAGTACCTTGGTGGGTTCTCCTTCATCGCTACCTCCTCAGCCCAGGAAGAGGAAGTTCAAAAGAAAGGTAGATCAGCTATGTTTTTACTGCAAAAGGGACGTGCATCTGACTTTGGACTGTCTCGAGTTTCTTGAGGGTAAGGCAGCAGGGAAGATCTTAGTGGTAGGGGGTAAAATGTGTGATAGACAGGGTAGGATAGTAGAGAAGTCCGCAGATGGACTTAGGGCTCAGTTATATAGCCAAAACCAGGAGGAGTTGAGGAGGTAGGGCTCGATTTTGTCTATATAAGTGAGCGAGCATTTTGTGAGGTATCAACTTAGGTTCTATGTGATACCCTTTTTAACTTAGAAGACATTTTGATGATTACTGTTAATCTAGATCTTAACTCTAGTGTTTCTACTAAGTTGAGGTTTTGAGGGTCAGGGTGGTTTAGATGAGGCATGTACATATTTAGGTGGCCTACGCCCTGGCCTTTGAGAGACAGATCTGACATGTATTTTAGGGGTAGTTGTCAGTGTGGGTTTGGTGTGGCTTGAGTTGAGCAAGCTATGATTTGGAGACACTTTCTGTGTGAGACATTGTACTCCCTTAGTGTATATTATGATGAGGTTTCCTTTAGGGACCATTCTTATATGTGACGATCACTTGTCTCTCTCACATGTGTGGTTGTACTCTGATGTATGATGAGTTTGTGTGGACAATGTGTGAAAAATCTTTTATGTATCTTGGGTATTGTGAATATGATTGTAATTAAAACTGTCTACTCCTTGGTATACTTGTGCGACATGCCCACGACAGCTGATAAGGCAGAGTATAAGGGGAGGAAGCGCAGTCCGTCTATGAAAGTTATCTAAGTTGTGATGAGGACCCATAAAATGGTCTCTCAGTGATGTTCTGTTTTATGATGGGACCCCTTTAGATTTTGGAAAATACGGGGTGTTTTGTTTATGATGAGACCCTCGTGATTTCTAGAAGAGGGAACGTATTGTTTTATGGCGAGACCCCTCGCGATTTTTGGAAGAGGGGGTGTTTTGGTTATGAAGAGAGCCCCTTTTTGGATTGTTGGAAAAGAGGAGTCGTTTTTTTGAAAGACTCATCCTCAGGAGTGAGTAAATTGATTTATGGCATGATGAGTTGTTCGATGGGTGATAAAGTCTGACGGAAAGGGGCCACTTTTTGTTTGAAATGTTTGAGAAAGTCGCAATGAGTACAGGGCGAGGGATGTCTCAGGGTGGGTGGCTGCTGGCTCTAATCAAGTCAGGGGTCACAACCTGGTGGATTTAGCGGTGATTTTGCTTGTAAGCGTGCGAAGGAGGTCATGCCTATTGAAGGAGGGCTGGTAAATGTCTTCGGACCCCTGCGTATCGCGCATTGGGCCTGTGATTTTGTTTAGCGACGCAACCGTTTAGCCATTGGTGCTAATTCTGAGACATATTGAAGAAAGGTCAAGCTAACAGAAAAAAAGTTAGTACCTCTAAGGCGTAACCCCATTGGATGGCTGCTAACCAGCGCAACCTGGTTGCGGGACCGCGGGGTAAGAGTTTAAGGGGAGTTACTCGCCCCAGGGAAATTACTCTATGGGATAGTGAAGGTTGAGATTTTGGGAGGTCCTGATTGAGTGCCTATCAGGAGAAACCCTATCGTTGCGTAACCAACGAGGGTACTGCCATTAAATAACAATGCGGTAGGTCGTAATCCTGGTCCGATCAACCAGGCTATGGTGGGCCAAGATGGAGACCGGGCCTTTCTGTACTAGAATGCAGAAAGAGCGGAGTGAATATTAAGTTTACATATATACTTATATGTATTTGATTGCGAGAGATTTTGAGAAGGAAGGCGAGAGTGCCTTCAAAGGTCTCGGTTAAAGCCCGCGTCCCTAGTTTTTGCCAGGACTAGGGACACCCAACGAGAAGCCGAAGGTTGTCTAGGACCAGGGAGAGGACGATTGGAAAGGTGTTTGGAACTTATGCTGCCAGTGTCCTAATGTCTGAACGGTGCGAGGCCCAGGTTAGAAACCTGACAGCATATAGTTATGAAGGCATGGTTTGATGGAGGCCTCTACCCTGTGTTTGTCGGCTAATCGGATTGGCTTCTGTTTCGTCAGCATTTGGAATATGGATGGATTTATAGCTTTCTGATTTGGCGAAGCGACGGGACGTCGCTTAATATGGTCCGGTAGGCTGTCGGTGTAAATACCCTTACAAGGGTATTCACCCTGGTTTTTGCAAGTAACAGAAAATTGTTTGGTTTAAAATTTAAGTATACCGCGCTAAACACGGCTGCATTTGTAATTGCGTTGACTGGGTGGTTGACCACAATAGCGAGTGCGTGGGCGCGCAGGTTTAAGGCGCGCGTGATTCTTTTCTGTTGTTGATCGTAAAGCCGGCCCGGACCTCGGTCGTTTTGCTTAGTGATATTATTATTTATTTTATTTTTGATCGAGCAGGAATTTGAGATATTTTATGTTGATTGGTATGTCTGACCGAGGCGAGCGCGTGTGCGAGGGCGACGGCATCGACAGCGATGGCGCGCAGGGATAGCCGCCGCACGGTTGGTAGGCCGGCGGCTTTCGGCGACCGTGCATGCAGGGGCAGACCGCAGAATGGCCCAGGGCGAGTCCTTGGCTCGGAGCGCCATGCGTTACCACTTTATCTATAATTTCGAGCCTGCCAACACTAGGCTTGGGCTTAGCCCTATAGGTTATGGCATCGGACTACTACTACGGAGGTTCAAGGATAGAGGCTAGCGGGTGTCGACGCAACATATGCGGCGGAGCGGCGTGGAGAAGGCCGAGGGGGTCGAGGGTCCGACGGGGCTATCCACCCCCCCTTTTTTTTTTTTTTTTTTTT